AGAGACGGGAAAGGAGGAGATTGTTGGACTTTGGTTTGGTCTGTTGCTAATTTTGTATTGTTTTTGTTTTTTGAGACTAGTAACTTAATATTTCTGTGACTCTCACCTGTTGAAACAAGACAGTGGTAATTCTACCTATTTCTTGTGTGAGTGGTGGCATGAATGGGACAGGTGCCGGAAAGGCACCAGGCAGCATGTGTAGACGGGGGCTGGCGGGGGTTAGTGCTCTTCTCTGGTCCTGCTGGGGGGGGGGGGTTCTATAATTTGGGGATTTCACAGTCCTTGGGGTAGGAACTCTAGTTTGTTTTTGAGAAGGCTTACTAGGGACAGGAACCCCAGATATACTCTGAAAAGAACAAGCAAAGGAGCAAAGAGGACTGATGAAGGGAGAGAGGAAAGAGGTGCCAGAGGCTTGTGCTTAAAGTTGGAAGGGAGGGTGGGAAACACGCCCTGGTGGCCAGAGATGTGAGGGATGGGAGAGATTTCCCAAAGTTGGTAATGACTTAAGTATTTTAGGAATATGACTTAAAAATTGTATATGTTCGGGCCGGCCCAGTGGTGCACTGCTATAGTGCGCCACTTGAGAGCACGGCGGCGCTCCCGCTGAGGGTTCGGATCCCACATACAGACCGGCTGCTCACTGGCTGAGCAAGGTGCGGGCACAACACCGAGGGTTGCGATCCCGTTGCCAGTCCCGGTCCGGTCCGGGCGCGACTCCGAGGGTTGCGATCTGTTGCCAGACACGAAAAAAGACAGAAAGGAAAAAAAAAAAATTGTATATGTTCATGATAAAAAACAAAAATGTACAGAGTAAAAAAAAAAGAAAATCATTGTTCCAATCCCTGTCCTTATTTTTATGTTTTTCATTCTTTTAATTTTTTTAAAACTATTTTTTAAGATGGTCTGTAAAATCCACAAATTTAATGGTGATAAAAGCAGTATAGGAGGGCTCTTCAAAAAGTTCATGGAAAGATTCATAGTATCTTTTAGTTCTATTTTTTTCCATGAACTTTTTGTGGTACCCTTGTATATTTATTTTAGAAAATAATGAAACCCAGCATAGCTGTATAGGAGATAATAAAATCTATCTGTAATCCAACATCCAGAGATAACCACTGACCCCTTTAAAAATATTTTTTTGTGAGATATATCATATTTCATGGATAATACCTTAATGTATTTCATTGTATAGTTTAGAAACCTGCTTTAATATGGTTTTATCTGGGTGTTTTCTGAGACTGTTGGGTTTGTTTCCTTGGTTAGTGTTTATTCATCTGATCACCCTTGCAGAGCCCATCCCTGTGCTGAGGATAGAGGGATTAAGGGATTAAGGTAATCTTCCTTTTTGTGAATTTCACTTTTTCATGAGAAAGGGTGATTCATGTACCTATAAGTAATCATACTGTGTGGTGCTAAAATAAGACGTTCTCTGCAAACACAGACTGCAGAGTAACTAAAACCAGAACTGAGGGAGGATTATTACAGAAGGTACCATCGTGGATTCAGTTTAAAGAATGAGCAAGAATTCTAGCTCAAATGAGGACAGAGGTTATCCAAAGCAGCAAGAATCGCACAGGCAAAGGCTCGCCTATAAATGTGCACAGGCCACCCCACTCAGCCAGGCCTAGAGTTATTCTTTTTTTTTTTTTTTCCTTTTTGTCTTTTTTACTGACTGGTAACGGGATCGCAACCC